ACGTTGTAAATGTTCCGGGGGGTTCTGAGGCCATACAGCATGTCCTGGACAGACTCTGGGACTGGTCTACTTTGTTGCTACTGCCCATAAATCAGGCTAAGTGTTCCGTCCTTCGTATAGGAGCAACTTTCCCCCTTCGAGCTACGTCCTCGGTGGGGTCGAACTCCCCCTTGTTTCCAACCAAGTAGTCCTAGGTGTCGTTCGTTCCTCGTCTTTGCATTCCGGTGACAACTGGAAAGAGGCCGCAAGTAGGGGTTTCAGAATGTTGTGGTTAATACGCCGTTTTTTCGGGGTCTTAACTGCCGACATATTTGTGAAGCTGTTCTCAGCTTTCGTCTGGCCCCATCTGGAATACTGCGTCCAGGCTTGCCCGCCCTGCCTTGTTCGGGACAAAATGGAGCTGGAGAGGGTTTCGGGAGTAGGTACTAAATTGGTCTAGGGGTTACGGGGGCAATCGTACCCCTAGCATCTACTTAGCTTGGGTATGTATTCAATGCACTACCGACGGCTTCGAGAAAACCTAATCCTTACTTACCGCGTTTTAACAGGGAAGGTTGGACCTCACTTGAGTTGGCTATTTATTCCGGCTAGGTTGCCTTGTCTTCGCGGTCATCCCATGAAGCTACACGAGCCGCGTTCTGACCGAATCAGGGCGGAAACTCGGTTATCGCGTAGAGTTATCGAGCGCTAGAACTTGCTTCCAGAAAGTGTAGTCAGTGAACCTACGGTTGAGGGTTTCGAGCGTCAGTTAGACGCTCTTGGGTGGCAACACAAAACCTTTCCCTTCTCCTGACCATATCCATCTTCCTTATTCTGTCATTCTCTTCACTCCTTGGTGTTATCCTTCATTTTAATGACTTTCATTTCCCTTTACTTTCTACCTCTTTCTTACTTCACGTGACCTACACAGCGGGGACTGCTAGTGCAGGGAACTTTGGCAGTAATTTGTTGACCGAGGTGTGTTTCGGGTGTTTCGTTTTAGATCTATCAAGAACTAGCACCTTATCATTTCCTGGCTCAATGATTTGCTCAAGAAGGAACACTTAAGGGATTTTCCTATCGTTCCAGTCCATCTGAATATGAATATGAAAGCGCTCATGAACCTTGTCAGTCGTCTCGGCCAGCTTGTTGAAAGACAAATAAGCTGCGAATACAGCTTTTCTCGGTGTCTTCGCTGGAAGACATTTCGTCCACGGATGTCGCAAAATTGTTTCGTCGTTCTTAGAGGAACCGACCAATGTACGGAAGTGCCTGCGGAGTTGTGACGGCGTGCGATCGCCTAGTTCAACACCGGAGACTAACTTTCGAAGTCTAGCTTCGTCGAAAGCCGTGGTGCGCTTTCGAACGGCTTATCGTAAGGTACGTCAGCCGGAATCTTTTCGAGCAAACTTATACGGTCAGTTGCGATGTGGGCAGGAAGCTGGGCAGTGACATGTGCAAACATTAATATTTGCGAAGTAATGCGACGTATGCCTGTTAGTCTGACTAACGTTATTCTCTAGTGTCTAGGGAAGCTCATTAGGAATCGAATCTAAAAATCTTGCTGCTAATAACTTGATCGGAGCAGAACAGCATAGCTTAGTCAAGAAGAAATCATATTGTGCCAACGTGCTGTGTTTCCTTGACGAAATCACTCGATGATGGCATAAAAGTTGGACACACTGGATATTGATGTGTGTTGGGTGTCCGAAACTAGGATCAGTGACCCTAACGGGGTTATTGAATTAACTGCACCCGGCTTATCCTCTCGTTATTGGTTACACGCATCCGGAGACGCAGATGCGGCACTCACGGGTCAAGCTGGTGTAGGTATCATTCTAAGCTCCAAAGCTGAGCCATCGTTGGTCGATTGGATTCCGGTGAACAGCCGTTTATGTGCAACCCCTTTGACGACATCCGCTAAGGTTGATTCACGAAACAGTACAAAACGCTGTTTGTTTATGATTTTCGGTTATGCTCCCACTAGCTGCAGTTCAAATGCTGTCAAGGACACATTCTATGACGAACTGAACGCGCTACTGCACAGTGCTACTAATTCAGATATTATAGTACTTGCAGGTGATATGAACGCACAATTAAGGGCGTCTGAGCTCTTTAGAAGCTCAGTTGGGTGGTAATTATGGGCTTAACCCCGAACGGACTGACAACGGCGATCGTCTGCTGCAACTGTGGGCGGAGTACCAGTTGTTTCTTAGTAACACTGCTTTTAGACGCAGTGGGCACCGAAGTACCACTTGGCGTCCTGTAGCTTGTCAGCGATGGTCCCAAATTGACCACATAGCCATAAGTTACAGGTGGCATGGTTCCATGCAGGACTGCCGCTCGTACTAGAATATCTGCGTCGACTGATCATGCCTTAGTACGCTGTCGTTTCTCCATGAACTTTACCGGGAGACGCACCAAGCTTCCCCTACGATTGGCAACGGAGAAATCGTCTCAGTCCTCGGTCAGGCAAGCCTATCAAGACACACTGCTTGCCGAACTTTCGCTCTCTTGTCCTAATGACATTGAGCTTCAGTGGAATAGGATCTCGGCCACCATGCAGGATGAAGGAGCATCTGCTTGTGGCGCTATTAATCGTCACCGCACCAGTCACTGGATATCCGAGAGGTCGGTGAACCTGTTGGAATCCGGAAGAAATTTTCCGGTTGGCTCTGAGCACAATGTGACCAGACGGGCTATTAGACGCGAACTAAAGCGGAGCCTGTGTGCTGACAAGGAAACCTGGTGGACCACTCGGGCTAAAGAAATGGAGGAATCAAGAGCAGTAGGCAATTACCGCAAGCTCTTCCAGCTGATCCGCACCACTGGTCCCAGAAAAGCAGGCGTCAGTGAGACGATCAAAGACAGCGCGGGTGCACTGTTACACAATAAGGAGCGCCGTATGGCTCGTTGGGCGGAACACTTTCAAGATCAGTTCAGCTGGCCCCCTGCTTCGGACCTCTTCCTACTCAGCTGATGCAGGGCGAGCCATGGACGGTTAGTTTAGAGCCTCCGTCAAAGGACGAGGTCTGAAACACGATCACAGCATCCAATCGTTTTCGTGACACTGGGCTGGATTCCATCTCACCTCTACTATTTATTGATGGAAGTCAGATCCTCTGCAAAGCACTGACCTCCCTTTTCGAATGTATCTGAAAGGAAGTTTCCCTTCTAATTTGTTAGAATCGATTATAGTGGCAATGAACAAGAAGGACATTCTCACAGACTGTTCTAACCACAGTGACATTAGCCTAACGCCAGTTATGACAAAATTATTGGCCTTGATTCTCATACGTCGCCTCACTGTGGAGCGGGAATCTCAGATTAGGGAAGAGTAGGCAGGTTTTCGCCCAGGACGTGGCTGTATAGACCTTATATTCACTTTGCGGCAGGTGCTAGAGCAGCGCCACGCATACCGCAGACCGACAATAGCTGTGTTCTTTGATTTCAAGAGTGCGTTCGATTCAGTCCATCGATTGATTCTGTACGAATTACTTGCGCGGAAAGGTGTTCACACGAATTATGGGAACATCCTACTCGAACACTACAGGCTGCGTCAGAGTCTACGGTGAGGGCCGTTCTGCTTTATGGTAGTGAGACTTGGCCCCTTCGGTCTAAAGATTTGAGGCACCTTCAAGTTTTTGGTCATCATTGTCTGCGAAGCATTGCTGGTGTCGGATGGCGCCAGCGTGTCCGCAACGATGATGTACGTAGGCGAGTACTAGGTAATGATAATCATGCTAGCTCCTTAGAGCAACAGATAGCATTGAATAAGTTGCGTTGGCTCCGGCACGTGCTACGTGTGCCTTGTCACCGCTTACCTAGAAGGGCTTTTTTAGTCTGCCAGTTGCAGAATGGCGCAAAGCTCCAGATAAGCAGAAGTTGACTTGGCAGCGGGAGATGAACTCACTGACGACCAAACTGAATGCCGTTGGTCCTTTTCACCTTACGGGCTAGAGTCCACTTGATTCGCTTTGTGCTTGGCTCGAGACTTTACAGGACATGGCTCGCAAACGGCACCAGTGGCGCGTCTGCTGTCGTCTCCTAGTCGGATTGTCTGTTTAAAGTGTGTTTGGTTCTCGGTTATCTGCGGGGTAATGGCTGATTATGACGCGGGGCAGTGAAAGCCGCAAGGAAGCTGTCTCGCCGATGCCGCCTTATCTATGCACGATAGCCAGCTGATTGTGACGGTATCTTGTTAACACAAGGTGTAGGCGCCTTGACCCTGAATGTTTGCTTAGGGCATAAAAGTTTTCAGGTAAGTCCCCCTTCTATCTCTCTTATTATTCTTTGTTTCATAGGTCATCATGGTTGTATGGCAGCGAAGCATCAGTTCAAATATCTGATGTACTGTTGTTGTTTGTGTTATTGTTATTGTGATCTTTTCAGCAGGAAATGAAGTCACTAACAACGAAACTGTACTGTCCGTCCGTTCGTCTCTTCTTTCAGGCTGGCATCCACATGATCCACCTTGTGCTTGGCTTGAGTCGTCACAGGACAGCTCGCAGTCAGCACCGGTGTCGTGCGTACTGTCGTCTCCTAGTCGGACTGCTTTTTAAAATTGTGTTTGATGCTGAGTTATCTGCGCGGTAATGGCTGGTTATGATGCAGGACAGTGAAAGCAGCAGGGAAGCGGTCTCGCCGATGCCGCTAATTTTTGCTTGAAAGCCAGCTGTTTTTAATGGTATGCTGTTGACAATGTGTAGGATCCTTGACGCTGAATGCTTGTTTAGTGCAGTCTTCTTTTGCACATGGTCCCCCTTCTTTCACTTGTTCTTCATTCCGTAAGTTTTTCTGGTTGTACGGCATCGAAGCATCAGTTCACTTGGCAGCTGTGCTGCTGTTGCGGATGATAATGAAGGTTGTCTGTCGTGGTCTATCTTCCTCTTTGCTTTGTTTTCGTACCCTACATAATCGATCTTTCAGTAGTTGTGATAACAACAGTCATCTGTCCACGGAATGTTATGCGGACGCTTCTATCTGATTCGTTGTTATTGAGCATTTCTTTTGTATTTCAGCCTCACAACTATGTCCCTGCCTAATTTAGGCATTACACGTATGAGTATATAATACTGGATCGAGCGCATATTACCGAAGTCGTCGCGTTTCTTCTAGTACAACACTTGTTCTTGTAAACGGATCCTCTTTGCGTCACTACAGCTGTTCCATGAAACTCTCACGTGTGACTTTTTGCGTCGATGGATTTTTGGTAGCCTTCTGTTTAACCTCACTGCATTAATTAAGGGACAAGGAGACTCGAACTACTACCTGCCCATAATTTCGGATTGCCTTCAACACTCTTTCTTTCTTCTGCCGTTAATCTACCTAATCATCTCGATACCATTTTTACTTTGGTACTGCCATGTGCGCGAAAGCATCCCGATTACACGGATTGATTTTGGTCTACGTTTCTTATTACAATATGTGCGTTAGTCATAGCCCGTACTAAAAGTGCAAGTTTCTCTCAGGATGTGTGCTGTTATCCGTGGTTTCTTTACTCTGTTGTGTCATTCTTAAAGACGCACTCTTTCCCACTGCAACCGTGGATATCATCCGCTATATTGCTCTCATCGGAAATATTATCTCACTGGTAAGCCCCTTTTACCTCATTTTCTATGCTAACCGCGGAAGCTATGCGTCGCATTGCTTTCATCCATTCGTGGACATCCATTTACTTATTTTCTATCATATTCTAACGATTGCACCTCACAATAAACATTCGAACACTACAGTCTATGACTGCCGGTCAGTTTGAAACGCGCGCTAGGGTTCCGGCCGTGCTCTAATGCAAGCGTGCTTGGCTATCTTCACGCTTCAAAGATTCGCCTAACCTTTAAACCTTGTAATTTGAACTTGCAGTCTGCAGTTCAACAATATCATGACACTGGCTCATCAGTTATCGCCGGCTCGTGGTCGAAAGGACCGTGTTGGTCCGTGATCGAAACGATCCCAAGCCCGTTTTGTAATCCGGAGTCGGGGGATTGAGCCTGCGTAGGGTACCGGGCAACCCTCGCAGTATCCTTAGCCCACGCGCGACTGGTGGTGGTTGTGTGTCAGTGCGCAGTAATGGCATACTGCTGATACCCTCTTCACACCAATTGTCAGTGATGAATGAAGTTACTAAGTCAAGCGCTGCCTGGAATCGTCTCAAGTGTGTCACAAAGTAAGCTTTGGGCGTCTACTGTACATTTAGTTTGAGATGTCCTAGCTGTGAATGCTTCTCTGAGGCATCGCTCGGTTTGATCGGAGCACGGAAACTGGTAATGATGGCTAATGAGTTTCAGCGTGTCCCTAACACCCAGAAACGACCTTTTACAGTCTTCGAATCGACCGAGAACATTGTTTGGTTGCAATGCCTGTGGGATGGAGAAAGTTTGTGCTATTGGAAACAGCCGAGTGCTATACCTGCTCGTCCGGAACTCGGGTCCGAGGAAGTCATCATTTGGTGTGACAATAGCCGAGAAGATGCGCAGTTGATCCATTTTCAGTCGCGTCGACTAACCCGTTGCAACACTTCCACTTGCTGAATCACCTGAGCCGACTTGGGGAGTTGCTGTCATATCTCCCACTTTGGAAGAGATTCGCCATAATCTCACCATGTTGAAACGAAGCAAGATTCCCGGAGCCGATGACCTTCGCCTATGTTTGCTGTATGCTGGAGATGACTCCTTGTCGACTGAGCACTGTAGGGTGCCTTTAGGCTGGCGATTGTCAAGAAGGGTCGGCGTATTTTGTGCGAAAATCGTCGAGATGTTAGCCTTATTTCCATTGCCTCTAAACTTCGCATGAGCATCAGTCTTCCATGACTTACTGTTCCTCGAGAGGACAACCTTGGTCGTGGTTGCATCGACCACACACTTATACTTCTTCAAGTCTCAGATCTGAGACACCGACTATGGTGGTTTTTTGACTTGAACGCCGCATGAGGCTTTGTTGACCGCGCCAGTTTGTTGCACTGCCTATCCATGTAGAATGTGCTGGCCAAACTCCTTTCCATCATGTAATATCTATAGGCATTCTCGAGCCCGCGTAAAGGTCTACGGGAAGTTGTTTGCTTAGTTTTTCACGACAAATGCGGTTTGCCAGGATTGTCATTTATCTCCTTTCCTCTTCAACTTTGTCGTCTAAATGATCATGAGCGACTCGGTTCCTTCATACACTAGAGGAGTGGAAGTTCTGCTAGGTGGCTGACTGGCAATCCTCGAGTATGCGAACAACAGCTATTCTTGAGTCTGACGCATTGTCTGCAAACACTATTGGATAGAGTGGTGCACGCTTCAGCATGTACTCTGCACCTTCAAAGTACAAAGTACTGCTGCAGAACTGGGTCGATATACCACCGGCTTTAGCTATCAGCGCACGGTCTCTAGAATTGGTGGATTGATTCACTTACCTTTGTAGCTGTGTCACGTTTGGTGATCATGTCACTTAGGTTACTTCGCGTATCAGCAAAGCCTGTGTGGCTTTCCAAAGACTCAACCGTCTATGGAGACAGCGGGATATCATCCAGTCAGTAAAGGGTAGGGTTGTATAATGCTGCGATAAGGCCGGTCCTACCGTATGGATAAGAAACCTGTCCAGTTCTTAGGGAGAGACATTTAACGGCTAACTGTGTTCAATCACCGCTGATTGCGGCGTATTGTTTACATGGGAATACGAGGTAGGCAACGTTGACATCCGCCAGTTTATTTTTGGCAGGAAACCCTCTGCTGCCTTACTCAGGTGTTTGTTATTGCTTTGCATCTTACGTTGAATAGGTCATGTCCTTCTAATGCTCGTCAACCGCCTTCCTTAGCGTGCCTTATTCACCGTGGCTGCGCCAAGCTAGTCGATGACGTGACATAAGAGCATGAAGAATTTGGATAAGAAACTTGGTCAGGCCGGGGGGTTAGGAATGGTTCATAACAGTGTTTGGAGACTCTGTTAGACATGGCGCAGTCAGTGACACTCCTGATTTGTTCTGTGCATCTAGCTGTTAATTTTTACTCCACCCCGGTTAGTTTTTCGCATTTTTTCCTTGAGGTTCATTTTCTTCGCATTCTATTTATATTCGACCTCACTTTTGCCGTTGTTATTTACTTTTAATCCGGACCATTGTTGTTCCGCAGAGTCTGACTGAACTGATGGAAGCTGTCTCTGTTTTTTCCATCGAAAGTTATTTCCTCTTATATTGAATAGAGGAACAGGATGCCTTATGTCAGCGGATATATTTTTGCAAGCAAACAAATAAATATCGGTACTCTGCGCTGTGTAGTAATCGCGTGTCTGGCGGTCATTACACTGCATCTACGACCTTGCCTTTTTGATCGGCCATTCGGGGGCGGGCAGGTTTTCCCGGACAGCCAGTCGGAGTAGCCGGGCGACCTTGGTGACCATAACATCCATCCGGTGAGCTACTCATCCTGGGCAGCACCTATTATGGTCGTCAGGAAGCCGAACGGTCTAATTGGAATATACGCCAATTTCTCAACGGATCTGAATACTGCACTGCACCCCTTACCGCTTCCGGATGATTTGTTTACACAACTGAATCGTGATAAATGTTTCGCAAAATTGGATCTTTCCGACGCATACCTGCAGGTCGAAGTACATGAAGTCTCACGAGACTTACTCACCATCAATACGCGCCGAGGCTTGTATCAGTGCCACCGTCTTCCGTTTGGGGTCAGGTCCGCACCAGGCATGCACACATTGCTGACAGACGATGATGGATGACATCGTTGTTGTCGGAGGCATTGCTGATGACCTATTCGAAAAGTTGGATCGTGTTCTTGGCCGTGTTGAAGTATATAGATTCAGGCTTCGACCTGTGAAGTGTACCTTCTGTATGGACTCATTTACGTTTCTCGGTTTTGTACTCGATAGAAATGGCAGACATCCAGACCTAGCGAATGTCGAAGCAAGCAAGAAGATACTGCCGCCAAATGATGTTGCAATACTAAGGTCCTCCCTAGGACTCACAAGCCATTACAGGCCGTTCCTGCCGCATATGCATCGCTTACGTGGTCCGCTGAATGAATTGCTGACAAAGGATAAGCCATGGAACTGATCCGAAGGATGTCAGAGATCATTTGAGCATGTAAAAAGATGTCTATGTTCCGATCATTTACTGACGCATTACGACCCTATCTTGTAGATTGTGGTGGCCGCGGACGCCTCGAACTATGGCATTGGTGCAGTCATAGTCCACAGGTTCGCATATGATTCAGAAAAGGCAATTTCATATGCAACCAGATCGCTGTCTCCCGCAGAACGAAATTATGGGCAGATAAAGCAAGAGGCCCCGGCGATAGTTTTTGCAGTAAAGACATGTCACAAGATGCTTTACGGGAGAAAGTTCAAACTTACTGATCATAAGCCGCTGCTTGCAATTTTAGGATCAGGATCATGCATCCCCGTATACACCGCGAACAGGCTGCAACGTTGGGCCGCAACTTTGCTCGGTTACCACTTTGAAGTGAAGCATATACCCGCAAAGTATATGGGTCAGGCTGACACGCTTTCTGGACTATTGGAAAATTAGTCTCGATTTACTTGGAGTCCGAAGTGAACCAAGTGCTGTTGGGGAGTCTCAGCAAGCTTTCGGTTACTTTCGAAATGGTGCCTGATGCATTAACCCAAGATCCAGTCTTTCAACAAGCGATCAAATACTGCACTACACCGTGGTCCAACGATAAAGTGTCACCTGAGCTGCATACATTGTTCCTGGGGAATGATGAACTGTCAATCGTCAATGGATGCTTATTGTGGGGGAACGCGTTGTCGTCCCCTCGGAGCTTCGCGGCAGGATTCTACCGCAATTCCATCGACGCTATCCGGTTATTAACAGGATGATAATGATTGCCGTGTCAGCGATGTGCACTTCCCATTAAAACGCTCAGAAAAGCGGAATCAACCTCCTGGCCTTTGACAACGAAACTGTGGGAGCGTGTGCATGCAGACTACTTTGGTCCGGTGAATGGGCAGCAGTATCTTGTCGTTGTTGACGCCTTCAGTAAATGGCCCGAGCTATTTTGCATGGAGCATGTGACCAGGGGCGCAACGATCGAGGTTCTGAGGAAGCTTTCCAGTCAACATGGATATCCAGAGATGCTAGTCACAGACAACGGTCCACAATTCACTTCCTGTTTTGCTGATTACTGCGCTCAGAATGGTATTGTGCATGTACGTTCGCTACCGTTTCATCCACAATCCAACAAATATGTAGAACGATTTGTCGATACTTTTAAACGCGTTTTCCTGAAATTGAGTAGAGTGGGAACTACGCAGACGATATTGTGCGCGGATGACATCGAATCTCCATGTTTCCAATCAGCTATCACCCGCAGAAGCGTTAACTGGACGAAATCTTCGCACAATGAACGCGTTATTGCTTCGGAAGCGCGATACTCCGGAAGAAAGAAACCTGAGAATGGAGGACTACTACAATCAACGAAGTAGGATACAATCATGCCGATTCTACACAGGACAGAAAGTTTTGGTCAGAGGCAACCACACAAAATACCATGATGGGCAGCAGGTCTGAGCTAAAGCAAATTTGGACGTGTCCTATATAAGGTTAAAGTAAGGGACCACCTTTGAACCAGGCACGCTAATCGATAATCACAAGCAGTCGATCGCTGCCGCTGGATATCCCAGCGGGTATCCCAGCAAGTACACAGAACGCTTCTGATGCATTTGCACCACCTTCCCAAAAGAGCCGATTATGCATCCAAGCCCCTGCTCTGCTCGGGTAGGGAGACCCGTCATCAGGATGTAGTTGGGCCCAAGACGGAGGTCATACGTCAGTTTGCGCGAGAGGGGTGTTAAGGAGAGCCAGCCTTTAAGCCATGAGCCGTGGCTCAAGATTGGATCGATCTGCATTTGGAGATTGAACTCAAGCGGATGTCAAACGCGAATCTATGTGGGTCAGCAGCTAGTTGAACCCTGAACTTGAACCGTTTTGAGTTGCGTTAATTGATAGTAATTCGCATCTCCGATGTTGTATTTAGTAGCTGCCTTCAGCCTATTTATTCAACTTTGCTCTCATGCAAAACAAACCCTCGGTCCTGGCCGGTCTTTGGTGCTTTCATTTCGTCATGGGTTGAGCAGACGGGGCGGTACAATAGAAACAAAATGCGCACAACAATTATTTCTCAAATTGCACTAGTCAGAAACAATGCAACTCAAAGGACCAGAGTACCGACAAGTACCAGTCACTTGGACAAACTGACGGAGCTATGTCGCTGGCACATTGCAGCCAACGAATCAGTCCACTCAGGCAGGGGTCCGGTGACAAGGAGCCGCGAGTAAATTCACAATGGTATGAGTTATCGTCATACACAAAGTCACGTTGAGCTGGTGTTACTGAGTGAAGTTAAAGAGTGGAAATGGTCAAGCAAGGGTTTGGGTACGTGTGCAGGACTTGCTTTAACGCAGAGTTCGAGCAAAACCCAAAATATCTAGGGAGATAAATCATGGCATGCTTGAATAGTCAAACCGTCTGTAACAGTCTGTTTCACTGTCGATTCGGCTTTTACATTCAATTGACTGATATGGACTGGTTTGCTGGTGCACGAATTCCTACTTGGTTGCGAAAGCTTGGAACGCAGCGCTGGTAAACTGCGGACAGTTGTCGAAGCCCGGCTCCTCCAGTATTCCTTGCCGCGCGATTCCAACGTAATCACTGTAGTACTTCACCGTGACTAGCTAATCTTTCCCGTTGTCTCGGAACAAATCCACTGCCACTTTTTGCCACAGTCGATTAGGGACATCATGTAGCATCATTGGTTCCCTCGTCTGCCGAAATTCGTGTAAACGGCCTGCCTTACACTCCGACACATGGCCTCTGATTTGACGCGTCATTCCTGGCTAGAATATCAATTCTCTTGCATGGTTAGTGGTACTTTGGGCACCCAATGGAGCACGAAAAACGTGCTATTGGCGAGTTTCACACAGTTGTAGCAAATTCTGAATAATGAAAGCCATTGGCCAATATTTTTTTGTCAAGGTACAACTTGGTATAATTTAAGCTATTTCGGACCTTTGAATAGAACATGATTAAACAATTTCTCGTGCTCGGTCTCCAGCTTCAACATGAGAAACTACATCTTTATCCATCTGCAACTTTAGCTCGAAAAATGTCTTCGTATCTTTTGAGGCGAGACTCGGTCACACAGGCATTCGGATCATTCCGAAATCGCAGATGCTGTTTACGACGGCTTTCACTAAATTATATTGCTTTTCAAGGTTTGGTTTTGATTGTATTACAAGGCACTGAAGGATAGTCCTGCTAGATTTTATCTGAACTCCTCCGAATTAGTGTTATTCATGGTTATAATATTTTTTGCTTCACAGTATGCTCTGCTGTTGGTTGCTATGGTACCTAACGACAGTTTGATTTTCTATGCGATCATGATGCCGCCTTGATTGACTATATGGTCCAATCGCAATTCTGTCTAAATGTGAAAGGAGACGAGCTTTTTTAACAGGCAGTAAGGAAAATATTAAGCGTAGACTAGCGTTGTTTATATGGTCCCATTGACCTTCCTGAACGTCCCTTTTGCTTTTTAAATTGCTAAAATTAGTATCAGACATTTTAAATCCGGACCTTCCTTCACTCTCAGGTGGATCGTGGTCAATTCGGTTACAAGGACCGTGTGTCTGAGGCAGATTCCTGTTGTTAGGTGTTGTTCCCGTTCGCAGCCCACTGCTGCGCCCCACGACCGTCTGTGTGCATATTTGCATTCTCCAGTCGGGGATTGCGACTCGAACTCCTAGCACTTTTGGGGGTTCTCAGCCGAAACTTCCACTCCGAATCGCGGCGCGCAACGCTTGTTACAACTGTTAATGACTGATTCCAATCAGTCATTTTAAAGCATTCATTTTGTACATGGATTGCGGTACGCGATCTTAATCTCATTGACGTAAGAATAGAGCTCTCATTTGACACCGCAGTGGGGCCGGATTCGAGTCGCAGTCCCGCTGTCTGTACCTGACGAGGGCCGAAGCTGATCGTACAGTGCAGTGTTATGAGCGGCAAACACGTAACAAGGAATCAAACTGGTTAGCGAACTTCCAGGCCAACGGACGGAATTAATTTAAAATGTCCGACCCAGTAGTTCTTCAGTGGCATCAGAAAATAGATTCAGTCAGAATAAACAACTATACGATACGTGTCTTCGGATGTCTCTCGACGCTTTTGTCTAACCTGGCGGGGAGAGGTACTCTGAACCTGGTCAGCTGTCACAGTATAGGCGAAAGGAATTAGCTTCCGATTTTTGGCTTGTAGCGTATGTTTATCTTCGGTGAGTTTTCTCAAAGCATTCGAGTACTTTCATCATACTACGTCATTCTGGAAGTAAGCTTCATTCCTGCTCTGTTTTATCCCCGTTAGATATCCTACCTTCTGCTTTCGGAAAGGCTACGCCGATTGCACCAGCCGCGTTCACAATTCCTGTTCAGTTTTACTTTGATACTGTTCGTCTCTGGCATACCACGGTTTTATGGGCTCGTCGCTCTTCCAATGGACGATAAGATTGCGGCGTTCATTCCTACTCTTTGGGTGACACCACAGGTAAGCGAGTTGTCTTTTTGTATACATTCCATTTTGTAGGGTTGTACGCCATGCTATCAGCATTCATGTTTCAAATGGTTCAAGCTCAGGTTATTTTTGTACTTTATACATTATGCTTGTTTCCCGGCAAAACGTCAAGGTATACTTTTACATTTTTAACCAGAAGGGATGTGTAAAACCACCGTCTTTAGGGCTCAACTGGGTTCCATTAATGGCACTTTTCATGGCGCTTCCTTTTCACTACTTGCTTTTTACTTTCTTAGTGGTTTCTGCCCTGCAGTGTTGCCTACCGACATCACCTGTAACTCGATTGGTGCCACGGGCTCCTTTAAAGGTTCTGCTACCAGATTGGGTAGGAGATCAGACCATCGCCGTCTCCTGGTCTCCCAGGTTTAGGGTTGCAAATGGGATCGGTTACATTTCTGTAAAACCGGAACCCTACCACCCGCCACTGCTTTTGAGTCAAGCCTTTGATTGATGACCTTTATCATTATTCTGTCTTGGTTTGGGCGTACCGGTAGTATCTCAGCACACAAAACCGTAAGCGATTGAATTGAATGACTTCGAGCTACATTCTTTATCGCCTGTCGCGCAGCTTATAAGGAGTCGTCTTATCTGCTGCACTCAACGTGGTGCATAAACGACAACATACTACTGCTGACGTTTCCCTTTTTTTCTTTCACTAGTTTCTCTTACTTCACTCCAAACCCCCATTGCCAGACTTCCCTCTGTAATTCCTGGCTTAACTGAGAGCAACAGCGATGCCACTGGGGTTCTGCAGTCTGCAGTTGGGGTCCTGCATCAATCACTGGATTCCTGTCGATAGCAATCCCTTTTATTTCCGGGCTGTCCAGTTTACTTAACGATGTTCAACCTTTTCACCATAAATTAGGTACGTCAGAAGGCTACACTCGCACTAGTTGGACTTATTAACTGTAAGCATATGCTGCTTGTCCAAAAATAGTATCAGGGACCCTCACGCGGTTGCTTAACTTACTGCACCCAGGTTGTCCTCTCTTGGTTCCACGCATCCGGTGATGCTGATGCAACAGCGACAGTTCAGGCTGGGTGGGCGTTCTCCTGAACTCCAAGGCTGGTTGAGTGGATTCCTGTATGCTGCCATCTTTGTGCATCCTGTTTGACACCAACCTTGGTTAGCGCATAAATTAGCACCAGACACTGTCATTTCGTTTTAAGTTCCCACTAAGTGCAGATATGAAGCTACCAAAGACGCTTCTTACCACGAACTGAACACCCTGCTTCATAGTGTTGCCACTGCAGACATTGTTGTTGCGGGGAATACGACTACACAACTATGTCATCTGAACTTCTCAGAAACCTGGGAAAGTGGAAAGTTTGAACTAAACTTTACACGCACGGCAAATTACGAGCGTACATTGTGACTGTGCATTGAGCATCGTCTGTTTGTTCGCACCATAGCCTTCAGGTGCAGTGGGCGGCGATCTGCCACTTGGTGTCCTCCGATAGCTGGCCACTGATATACTCAAACTTACCTCACTCATATCAGATTCCAATGATGCAGTTCTATCTTGAACCGTCGCTAGTTCTGAAACGCGTGCGTGATTATGCACTGGTTCGGTGCCGCTTTTCCTTGAACTTTGAAAGAAGTATATCAAGCCTTCGCCTCAGCTGGCAACTGAGGAGTTACCTCTAGCTACAGCCAAACAAAAACCACTGGAATGGCTTTCATGCAGGTTTTCAGCTACTTACCCCACCGTTATCGTGTTTCAGTGGAACAGAATATTTGGACCCTATGCATGACACGGGAGCCTCTGCTTGCGGCACTCTCATCATCTCGATGCAACGAGACTGGGCTTCAGCGTGGTGTGACGGTTTACGTGCCTCTTCGACCCATTCAACTACACTGGGTGGTGACCATGAACCCCTTGAGAGCTACTGAGACCGGGTTGGTCAATGGTTAGGACTCAGACGAACGCAGCCTCCTGATCTTCCATTTTCGGGATTGTAAATCGGATGGCGTCCATTTCTGTAACAACTTAATCGTTGCTACAACTCCACTGCCTCGCGGCCGGTTGCCGAGTGGTCTGCGCGCCTGGTTTGCAGCCACAAGGTCCCCGGTTCGAATCCGCGTATGGGTGGGCGTCCTCGCGGTATACTCAGCCCGCGCGCGACTGGTTCTGGTCGCGTGGCAACGAAGCGCCGTTACGGCGTATACCTGACAAATCATCATCACTGCCTCGCGGACGGATTTTTGAACCAAAGGCTTTAGTTGAGGACCCTCCTCGTTCTCTCATCTAAGTCTGTGTGCCCATACAGTATCTCAGTTCATCTATAATCATGACTATTTCTTTAAACTTTAACCACATCCTGCATCGGTCGTCGCACATTTTATCACAAGTCGCCTTATCTGTTGCAAACAACAGAGCGCATAAACGAAAACATGCTACCTCTGGCACCTCCCTTCATTTTTCAGTCCTTTTCCCACTCTCTTCCCAATCCCCATTAATAATCTACCTTCCATAATTCTCAGTCTGACTGACAGCACTCGCAATGTCACAAGATTCTACCATCTGTAGCTATCTTCCAGCACCACCCACTGGAAGCCAATCACCGACAGCCTCTTTTAGGGCTACGCTGCGTTCAACGTTCGCACTTTAAACCACAGGTCAACATGATGTACTCGCACGCACGTTGGACCTCTTGGGTGTTGACGTATGTTGCGTACCCGAAAATAGGATCGATGACCTTCACGGGATTGTTGATTTAATTGCACCCGTTTTCTCCTCTCGCAATTGCTTACACGCATCCGGCGACGCTGATGCGGCAATCATCGGTCAAGTTTGGGCGTGTATCGTTCTCAGCTCTAAGGCCGAATCACCGTTGGTTGATTGGATTCCCCCGAGCAGCCGTTTGTGTGCAGCATTAACTGATGTTGATTCACGACTGCACCGACTGCAGTTTTCGTGGTGGCAAGGGGCCTTCTGTCATGAACTGAACACATTGCTTCTTAGTGTTAACTGGGGACATGAAACCGCAAGTGGCAGTCTCAGCTCTACAGTATCTCAGCCAGTTAGTAAGTGCGGAGTTAACTCTGACCCAACTGACAACGGCGAGCTTCGGTTGTAAGTGTCTGCGGAGCACCAGATGTTTCTTAGTAGCTCCGTCTTTAAGACGCACTGGGCGCCGAGCTGTCACTTGGCGTTCCCTATGGTTGGTCAGCGATGATCGCAAATAGATCACATTGCCATAAGTTATAAGTGGCATGGTTCCATCATTGATTGTCGCTTATTCTGGTCTACTTGCGTTGACACTTACCATGCCTGGGTACGGTGACGTTTTTCCACGCATTTGCTCTAGCTTGTGATGTCGTCTCAAGCTACTCGTGCTTCGTGTTCAAAAGTTGTGGGCAATAAGTTTCATGCACTTCGGTGCTTCGACTGTGATGTTTTGTTCCATATTTCGTGCATTGGCTTATCCGTTGACGTGTTTCGAAAATCGCTCGACATCCGACGTCGATTTTTTCAAGTTCTATGTGATAAATATCGCGGTACAAAACATCAGAATACGCAGAGACCGTAAACAACTACGGGAAAATCTCTCTTTCAGATAGAAACAAACCGTTCACCACGTGGGATCGAACGCCCTCGTGAAAGTACCTCTGTCACCTCGCCTTCTATTGTCACTCCGCGATCTGCACCACCACCAGCATCTTCGACGCCGGCCGAACCCTAGGTTCAATGTTCCCCACCGATGTAAGACTCAGACTCGGAAGCTACGAAATGCCGCTTCACTGATCGGTCCGTGAATTTCTCAGAGGCTGTCTGTTAACTTCTGAACACCGAGGATCCATGGACCACTCAAAAGCGCAAGTGCCCACGTAATCGAGTTCAGACGTCACCTGCTGATAAACAAGCACCCAATCAGTTAAGCGCCTCTAGTTCTGCTCCCACAGGTTCATCACTGATTTCGTTGAGGCATCATAATCTCATGGTCTTCCACGTACTAGAGTCAAAAGATGAAAACCCTCAGATACCTTATGATCACGATGTTGAGTTCCTCCAGGGGCTCATCGATAGACTCTTGGATGTGGGCGATTATCATCTCACCAACCGTGACGAACCTTTTCAATAAATCGCTCTCTGAAGGATCTGTCCCGAACGACTGGAAATGCTCGATATTGAGACCGCTTCCCAAGGGTGGTGATCCAAGTAAACTAGAAAACTATAGACCGATCTGTTTGACTTCGGTATTATCCAAAGTGCTCGAGAAGGTTGTGAAAAGTGTCTGCTATCGTTCTTCGAATCGATGGACGTATTGACGCCAGCGCAACACGGCTTTACGAAAGGGCGATCCTGCATCACCAACTTGATGTACGCAAACCACCATTGGGTACGAGCTCTCAACGAACGGAAGGATGTTGACGTGGTGTACATCGACTTTAGTAAGGCGTTTGACAGAGTGAACCACGAGGTACTCCTTGGTAAACTGAGGACATACGGAATCGGTGGCACGTTACTTCAGTGGTTACACGAGTTTATTGTGGGACGAAAGTTTAGAGTACAGGTCAATGACTACCTGACAGACTGGTTCCCATCGACTAGTGGTGTGCCTCAAGGAACTGTACTTGGGACAGTATTATTTCTTATTCATATCAACGATCTTCTGCAGCAGCTCCAGTCACCATGTGCCCTGTTTGCAGATGATCTGAAAATCTGGATGATCATTGAGAATCAGGATGACTGCGCTCACCTCCAGCATGACTTAGAGTGACTGTCAACGTGGTCCACTGAGATGCAAATCCCTCTTAACGCAAGCAAGTCGGAGTTCATCAGTATCACCAGACGTCCAGCCACTCGATCATACACCTTGGACGCCCAGTTGCTCCATCCCAACACATCTGTCACAGACATAGGAGTTCTCTCACGACATTATATGAGATCACTAGAAAATACAGAGAAATTGTACCGTGCGCGACTTCGTATGCTCTGGGCATTAAGGCGCAGTTTCTCCACATGGTC